GTTCCAGACCAGCCTAGCCAACATGGTGAAACCCCGTGTCTACTAAAATACAAAAATCAGCTGGGCTTGGTGACGGGGGCCTGTAATCCCAGCTACTCGGGAGGCCGGGGCAGGAGAATCGCTAGAACCTGGGAGGCGGAGGTTGCATTGAGTTGAGATCCCACCGCTGCACTCCAGCGTGGGCGACAGGGCGACACTTCCTCTCAAAAAAAAAAATAAATAAATAATAAAAAGAAAAATGGGCAAATGATCTGAACGGGCATTTCTCAAAAAGAGACATACATATGGCCAACAAATAAATGAAAACGTGGCTACCATCAAACATCAGCAGGGAAGTGACAATCAAACCACAATAAGGTATCACCTCACCCCAGTTAGGATGACCAGTATCAAGAAGACTAGAGATAACAAATGCTGAGAAAGATGCAAAGGAAAGGGAACTGTTACATACTGCTCATGGGATTGTAAAGTAGTACAGCCACTGTGGAGAATGGTATGGAGGTTCCTCAAAACTCTAAACATAGAACGACCCTACGGTCCAGCAATCCCACTACTGGGAATTTATCCAGAGAAAAGGAAATCAATGTATTGAAGAGACAGCTGCACCCCTATGTTTATTGCAGCATTATTCACAATAGCCAAGGATTGGAATCAACACAAGGGTCCAACCACAAGTGAATGGATAAAGAATATGTGGTGTATATACACAATGGAATACTATCGGCCATGAAAAGAATGAAATCTTGTCATTTGTGACAACATGGATGGAACTGAAGGACATTTTGTTAAGTGAAGTAAGCCAGGAACAGAACGTTAAACTCTGCATGTTCTCGTTCATATGCAGAAGCTAAAAAGAGTTGGTCTTACGAAGGTAAAACGGAAGATACTAGAGGCTGGGATGGGGAGGGGAAGGAAGGGATATGGAGACATTTGTTAAAGGATACAACATTATAGCTAGATAGGAGGAATAAGTTCTAGTGTTCTATACCATTGTAGAATGGCTAGAGTTAACAATAATCTATTATATAGTTTTAAACAGCTAGAATGAGGATATTGAATATTCCCAACACAAAGAAATGATAAATGTTTGAGATGATGGATATGCTAATTACGTTGATCTGTTCACTCTACATTATATGTATCAAAACTTCACTATGTACCCAATACATATGTAGAACTGGTATGTGTCAATTAAAGAAATAAAAGCTATAAAAACCCATCTCAATGTATATGGTAAATACATACAATTTTACATGCCAATTTTAAAAACAAATAACTTTGAAACATCTAAATTTCTAATAGGAAAGAAATAATAAAGATAAGAGCAGAAATTTAAAACTGTAAAATGAACAAACAATAGAGAAAAATCCACGAACCTGTATGCTTTTTGAAATACCAATAAAACTGAAAAAAGAATAACCAGGAAATATTAGGAACAATATTTGGAAATAAATTTGCCAATTTCGATGAAATGGACAAATTCCTTGAATGACTCAGATAACCAAAACTTGCTCAAGAGAAGTAGAAAACCTGAATAGCCTTCGATCTATGAAAGACATTTCGTATCCTAGGCTCACTCCTGTAATCCCAGTACTTTGGGAGGCCAAGGTGGGAGGATTGCTTGAGGCCAGGAGTTCAAGGCTACAGTGAGTTATAATCCCTCATAGCCTAGACAACAAAGTGAGATCTCATCTTTAAAAAAAAAGTATTTTATTGTTTTTCCTCTGACTCTGTAGATAAAACAGTTTCACGGGAGGGAAAACGAACGAGCAACACAGAAAACTATAGAGAAGAATGTAACTGTCACCCACAGCCACATGAGAGGACTGTCAGGATCCTGGTGGCCCTGCCGCCTGCAATTGCCTCTGCATATGCAGTCACACACACACACACACACACACACACACACACACAGTCATACGGAGAGTGCATAGCACACATGTATGCTGCATGACCCAGACACATTCATCATTGTCATGTCCCCAACCTGAGTCTCATTTTGACAGCCATGTACCTCCCCACGCTGTTCCCCCATGCCATATGCTAATGCTAGAAAACGAGGTGGGAGGATCACCTGAGGCCTCGCCCATTCCCCCTCCTCACCCACCTTGCCATGCCGGCGCCCGCGTGGGTGTGAATTGGGGGCATCTTTCAAGGGAGGGCAGAAGGAGAACCTGCTGTCTGTCTGCTCCCCACCTCAGGGAGCCCTCCCGCCCTCTTGTGTTTCCTCCTGGGCCCTTGAGGTCACTTGAGGGAAGAGGGGAAGCCTAGCACACTGGAGACACAGCTTTGGGAAGGAAGACACAGAGCTGAGCCAAACAAAGGAGGCCGCTCTGGGAAGCTCAGGGAATGAGACCCCAGAGGACAGATGAGCATCATGGGCGAAGCAGGGTCAGATCCCCCGTGAATTCAATACTTCAGCCAAGCAAGGTTTACGTCCTAGGGCAGGAGGGAAAGAGGCAGCTCCAGTTAAGGAAGGGCCGCCCTCTGGAGACAGGCCCCGGGTCACTCCGGGGGTCTCCCTGCAGAGCCTGTAGCATTGCTCCCAGACTCAGTGGGCCAGCAGGTCCCTACCTGACAGTTACTGTGCTCCTGGATCTTCATCTTTGCTCCCTGGGCTTCTGCTTTTGTGCCCGTGATGTTGTCTGCAGGGGCCGGTGGCTCAGCGCCTGGTCAAAGTTGTCTGGACGCATTTACCTGTCTTCGACCTCATTTGCCTGTCCAGGAGTTTCTCAGATGGATTCCTCAAGGTGGGTGGATGAAGGGGGCCAGCCCCTCCACACCTGTGGGTATTTCTCGTCAGGTGGGACGAGAGACTGAGGAAAGAAATAAGACACAAAGTATAGAGAAAGAACAGTGGGCCCAGGAGACCGGCGCTCAGCATACGGAGGACACGCATGGGCAGCGGTCTCTGAGTTCCCTCAGTATTTATCGATTACTATTTTTACTATCTCAGTAAGGGGAATGTGGCAGGAGAACAGGGTGAGAGTGGGGAGAAGGTCAGCAAGAAAACACGTGAGCAAAGGAATCTGTGTCACAAATAAGTTCAGGGGAAGTTACTATGCCTAGATGTGCATGTAGGCCAGATTTATGCTTCTCTCCACCCAAACATCTCAGTGGAGTAAACAGTAACAGAGTGGCACTGCCACCAACATGTCTCGCCTCTCGCCACAGGGCGGGTTTTCTCCTATCTCAGAATAGAACAAATGTACAATCGGGTTTTATGCCGAGACATTTCATTCCCAGGGGCAGGCAGGAGACAGAGGCCTTCCTCTTATCTCAACTGCAAGAGGCCTGCCTCCTCAGCACAGACCCTTCACGGGTGTCGGGCTGGGGATGGTCAGGTCTTTCCCATCCCACGAGGCCATATCTCAGGCTATCACATGGGGAGAAACCTTGGACGATACCCGGCCTTCCAGGGCAGAGGTCCCTGAGGCTTTCCGCAGTGCATTGTGCCCCTGGTTTATCGAGAATGGAGAACGGCGATGACTTTTCCCAAGCATACTGCCTGTAAACATTTTACTAACAAGGCACACTTTGCACAGCCCTAGATCCCTTAAACCTTGATTCCATACAACACATGTTTCTGTGAGCTCAAGGTTGGGGCAAAGTTACAGATTAACAGCATCTCAGGGCAAAACAATCCTTCGGGGTACAGGTCAAAACGGAGTTTCTTATGTCTTCCTGTTCTACATAGACACAGTAACACTCTGATCTTTCTTTCTTTTCCCTACAGGTGGAAGGGTATGTACATCTTTCCCTCAATAGAAAATGCCAAATAAATGTCCAGATAGAGGTTACCACCACTCCTACTGACAGCGTATGAGTCTTCGTTTCCAACTACAGCCTTGCCAAGCACTGGAGATTGTCAACTAATACTATTAATTTACATTAAAATATGCTCTGGTCCCACTGAGCAAATTCCAAAACAAAACTCAAAGGGATCAAGTTGTCTCCAAGCAACTTAAGAGCATCCCGGAACGCAGCTCAAGAATATGTCTGTTTCAGCTTGACATACAGCCCCTTTCCAATGTAGCTCTGGCCAAGATGGTGCCAGCATGTCCGCGCAGCAGACAAGGCACCTCAGCATGTCACGTAGACCCCGCAGCAGCCTGCCCCCTCCCCTGCCTACCATTCATGCCAAGTCCCCCTTTAAAAGGCCCTGCTGTCTGCCCACAAAGGGAAGCAGAGCCCTTAAAGGCAGGAGCCTGTACGTCTTCCCCTAAACCAAGCATGGCAGAAAGTCTGCTTCTTCGTAGCAGACATCGCTCTTGTTAATTCGATCTCCAAGAGGTGAGAGAATGAACCTGTGTTTTGGTTATATTGCGTGTACACAAAGATTTTGAATTATTTGAATTACTGTTATCATAATTTCAGAGACAGGGTCTCGCTCTGTCACCAAGGCTGGAGCTCAGGGGTGCATTCATAGCTCACTGCAGCATCCAGCTCTTGGACTCAACACATCCTTCCACCTCACACCTCAGCCTCCTGAGTAACTGGGACTACAGGTGCCTGCCACCACACCCTCCACCCCTAATTTTTAAATATATATATGTATACACACACACAGACACACACACACATATATATACACACACACGTGTATATATACACACACACACATATATATACGTGTCTATATATATATTTATTTAAATATATAATAAATAAATATATGGCCCAGGGTGGCTTCAAACTCCAGGTCTCAAGTCATCCTCCCGCCTCAAGCCTCCCACAGCGATGGGAATACGGGTGTGGGCCACCATGCCCGACCCATATCACATGCTTAAGAGTGAAATGATAATACTGGTTTTATGCACCTATTCAAGTACATGTTTTTGAAGAATTTTTTCAAAGTAAAAAAGCTCGTATGTTCAATGAAGACAATTTGGGAACAAACTTAATGCTGAGCTGGAAAAACATCATACATGCTACTGTCATATATTTAACATATAAATGCAAGCATATTGAGGAAAGTATTCTAAAATGTCCACAGTACTTAAAGCTGAACGGCGGGACCCAGTGGCTTTTCATTTTCCCCCATTTCCCAAATTGTCTTCCATTACCTTGTGCTACTTCAATCTCTGAATCCCAGAGCCTCCCCTGCAACCCGAGGACAAGGGCACGCAAGTCTGAAGGTGCCTTCGCTCGCCGAGAAGAGACTCAGACACGGAATTGTAGCTCAGTTTTATTTCCTACAGAAACAAACATGTAAGCCGGCCTCCTCCAGCGACAAACAATCAGGCCCCCACAATGAAGTGGCCGCTCGTGCAAGGACCATCCCCTAGGGGAGGAGGCACGACCTAGGAAGGGGCACCAGGCTGGGCTTAGCGCCTTTGTCCTGAGGGAGGCCGAGCCAAAAACACAGGCAGAAAGCACTGCACGATCCACATCAACAGGGAAAGCTGCTGGAGACAGGAGCTGATGGAGAGCTGGAGTTGGCGGTGGTCCGCAGCAATCAGTCGGCTAAATGTGAGAGGCGAAGAACATTACATTAAAGGTGACACCTCTGCACCCATCTCCCCGGGCTCCCTCGGGTGGTGGCGGGCCTGGTGCACCAGGTCTCTGTTCTGAGACCCTGTGCTGGGGTGTTCCCAGGTCTCTAGAAACCTGACCGTGGGGTGTAGGCGGATCCCAGTCCCCACCCTGCCACGCTGCGCACGCCACCCACCCAGGCCCCGTCCCTGTCCTGGTCCTGAACTGACATAGTCAGTATGTTGCCAGACACGGTGAACTCCTTCAGAAGCACCCCTGGCATGGGGAGCGGTGGGGCATCCCGGGCCAGGCTCCTGTGGGCCAGCTCTGCTTCCATGGGTGTCGGGAAAGGCATGGTGAGGTAGCTGGTGGGGGCCCAGTTAAGGCATCATCTCCTAGGACGTGGCCTGTGCCTCCGGCCTGCTGCTTACCCCAGGTCAGCTTTCCCCACTCCTCACCCCCACCCCCGATTGCCCAGCTCATCCCCCCCAGGCTGTCTCCCCAGGCACTGGCCCAGTAGCACATCCCACTCAGCTGTCTTGGTTCCACACTTTCCTTTGCTGCACCTCAAGGTGACTCCTCCATGCCCTTACAAGGCCCCTCCCCACCCTGTCCCCTGTCGCATCACCCGGCCCCCTCCTCGTCACCCAACCCTCCCTCTCCCCACCTCCCGCCACCCGCTCCCATCTTGCCCCCTTCCCCCCACCTCCTGATCCCCTCCTACACCCGGGTCCCCCTATCTCCTGGCCCCTGCCCCCCTTCCTGCATGACCCAGTGCCCCTAACCCCATCACCCATCCCCTCTCCCCCACCCTGCACACCCCCTACCTCCCAGCCCTTACCTGCTGCCCTCCTCACAGCTGGCCTCCCGTATCCCCACCTCCCAACTCCCACCCCCACCCCCACCCAACCCCTTACTCACATCTCCCCCGCCTCCTCCCCCACCGGGCCCTGCCCTCCCCATCTCCCGGCCCCCACCCCGCCACGAGAACTGTCTAGAACAGAACAGAACGGAACAGGATACAACTCAAGCAGGCGGCTGTCCGGCCTCCTGGTCCCGCATCTGCAGCATCCATTCAGCCGTGAAGCCGGGCCGCCACGTGGCCCACGAGGGACGCCTCCTCTTGGCCCTGAGACCCCTTCTGGCCCTGAGGCCCTTGCTGCCGCGATGCCCTGAGTACCTCCGCCGCTCGCAGCACCCGCCTCTCCTGGACCGCCAGCATAGCCCCCTGGGCCACCAGGATCGCCAGGGCCCCCTGGGCCATCAGCATCGCCCGCTGCGCCCCCTGTGCCCTGGCCTGCAGCCTGCATGGCTCCTGGGCCTCTGTGGTGTGCTCAGAGAGAAAGTCAGGGCCCACAAGCACGCGGAGGCAGTGAGGCTGCAGGAAGTTCCGCCCCCTGGCGTGACAGGGGCAGCCTGGGATCCTCAGGGCGCCTGCGCACAGGGGCCCTACTTCCGGCCCTGGGAGACCCCGAGCGAGCCCCGGAGCACATGACTGGTTCTCGCCAACCCTGCCCCGCCCCAAGAGAGCCCGGGCCGGAAGGTGGCCGCCATGCCAGCTTGGACCCGTCACCCCTGAGAAGCCGGCAGTCCACCAGGCCCCTGTCCCGGGAGCCCTGCAGGTAGTCCGGTACCGCGGGGCCCAGCCTGTCCCGTCTCCCTGGTCTTCCTCACATCGAGGAGCAAGGCGGGCCTGGGAACACAGGGCCGGGGCTGTGCGGCCGTCGTCCCGGACCCTGCCTATCCTGCCTGTCCTTGGGGGAGCGTCCAGGACAGACCCCGGGGCCAGGCCTCTAACTGGGTTCAGCAGCCTCCGTCCCTGTCCCGGTCACCCAGCCAGGTGGGGTAGCTGGAACCGCATGTCAGGTGGGAGTGACCTCCTGCCAGCCAAGGTCTCCCATGTGCCAGGTCCACCCAAGGTGGACGGGAGGGCCCAGCGGGACCCAGGGCCGGGTCTCACTCCTGGGTTCAACAGGCTCTGTCCCTGTCCTAGTCGCCCCGCCTGGTGGGGGAGCTGGAGCTGCGTGTGGGGTGGGTTGCGGGTGGCCTCCCAGCAGCCAGGGGCTCCCGGGCTCTAGGCCCGGCGCAGGTGGACAGGCAGGACCTGCTGGACCTGAGGCTGGGTTGGGCCTGGCTCCTGGATTCGGCAGTATCAGTCCCTGTCCTGGTCGCTCTTACCTGGTGGGGAGCTAGGAGATGACCCTGTGTCTGCTGGGTGCTGATCTACTTGTGTGTCCGGAAGGGGGGTCAAATCCACGGGACAGGTACCTCTAGAGGCATGCAGGGGTAAGGGCGGCACGGCCCTGGGAGCTGGATGTCTGTGCCAGGCACACCTGTGGCAACAGGAGGTGACCGGACAGGGTCTAGCCCTGAGGAAGGGGGAGGTACTGCAATCCAAACCACTCTCCCCCACCGTCCAAATCCAGGAATCAGCAGCCTCTGCACCTGGGAAAAGCATATTGGCACTCACGTGGAAACTAAAAAAGTTGATCTTTTGGAGGTAGAGCAGAATAATGGTTACCAGAGACTGGGAAAGGTGGGGAGGGTGGGGAGGTTACTGGGGACAAACATATAGTTGGATAGAAGGAGTAAGTTCTAGTGTTTGATAGCACTGTAGAGGGACTATTTATTGTATATTTCAAAATAGCTAAAAGATAGGAAATGTTCCCCAAAAAAAGAAATGATAAATGCTTGAGGTGGTGGAGGATATCCTAAATACCCCGACTTGATCATTACATAGTGTGTGCGTCTGCATGTATCAAAATATCACATATACTCCATAAATATGTGGAGTTATCATACATCAGTTAAAAATGTTTTTACTTACAGGAAAGAAAAATTCACCCAAGCTCTTGCGTGTACCTCCAGTTCATTATTTTCACTACTGTATTTCATTGCATATATTTCATTAAATGATGAATTTTAAAAACCAGAGAACTTGGTAACACAATTACACCTGGAATAGCTGAAAATGAGACATAACCCACTTAGTGATTGCCATCCTTCCTGTCATCCTCTGCTCAGTCCCCATTCTCAGACAGAGGCAGGCTAAAGTTCTTACCTTCAACAGGTCAGGGAAGGGAGAGTAAAGTACACGTGACCCTGTCTTAGGAAGCAGGAAGACAGAGGGAGGGTCTCCTGGTCCCCATTATTTTCCCGGCCTATTATCACCAGATCAAGTCAAGAAAGGAAGTCCTAACTGATTGAGAGATTCCCGGAGATACTGCCACTGTCCTGGAAGTCTCAATCAGCCACTGGGCCGGAAATATCCTCCATCAATATTTCAGCCAGAGCAACATCTGCCACTAGATGGCATCAAACTCCAGCCGGGATCAGGACAGATTTGGATGGTCCAGTAGGCTTGCCTCGTTCACTTCATTAACCCCACAGTAACACAGTTTCACATTGTATGTGATTGGATTTCTTGGAAACTACCTATTACATTACAGCAGAGTTTCCTAGTCCTCTAATTTATCCATTCTGCTGATGATGGGCAGGCATTTGGATAGTTTCCATCCCTTGGCTATGAACATACTTGTACAGGTCTCTTGAAGCACACGTCCAAGTTTCTTTTTGGAATTGCTGTATCACAGGCAATACATATCTCGAAATTTACTAGATAATGCCATGTTTTTCCAAGTGGTTTGAGCCAATTTTCGCTTCCACCGTAATGTATGAGAGTACCTATAGCTCAACATTCTCATCAATAGTGACGGTACTAGTCTGTTCTCGCATTGCTATAAAGAACTACCTGAAACTGAGTAATTTATAAAGAAAAGAGGTTTAATTGACTCACAGTTCTGCAGGCTCTACAGGAAGCATGGCTGGGGAGGCCTCAAGAAAGTTACAATCATAGCAGAAGGCAAAGAGAAAGGAGTCACATCTTATATGGCCAGAGAAGGAGAAAGAGAAAGTGAAGGGGGAGATGCTACACACTTTTAAACAACCAGATCTCGTGAGAGCTCACTATCATGAGAATAGCAAAGGAGAAACCAACGCCCATGATCCAATCACCTCCCACCAGGCCCTTCCTCCAACACTAGGGATTACAGTTCAACATGAGATTTGGGCAGGGACATAAATCCAAACCATATCATTCCACCCCTGCCCCCTCCCAAATCTCATGTACTTCTCACATTGCAAAATACAATCATCTCCTCTCAACAGTCCCCCAAGTCTTAACCCATTTCAGCACTAACTCGAAACTCCACAGTCCAAAGTCTCATCTGAGATAAGGCAAGTCCCTTCTGCCCATGAGCCTGTAAAATCAAAAACAAGTTAGTTACTTCCAAGATACAATTGAGGTACAGGCATTGGGTAAAGACTCCCTTTCCAAAAGGGGGACATCGGCCAAAACAAAGGGGCTACAGGCCCCATGCAAGTCCAAAACCCAACAGGACAGCCACTAATTCTTTTTTTTTTTTTTCCACTACAAAATAATTTATTCAAACACACAGCTACAGCGTGAGACTCCTGTGTACAAGCACACTGATGCTCCTGACTACCCTCAACTAGAGGACCCTTTTCTTCCCTCTTGCCTTGCAGACCTCTTCTATCGAATCTTTCATGTACTGGATCTCCTTGGCCAGGGAATCTGCCCTCTCTTTCAGTGCCTCGTTCTTCTTTTCCAGGGCTTTGCACTCACCAGCGAGGACCTCCTACTCCACCCTCTTCTTCTGGTGATACCTAGTTCCTGCTGTTCTGTTTTTGCTCCATTTTTTCAGCTTCTTATCCAGTTTCTCACCCTTTACTTGTGCTGCTACCATCTTCTCCCCAGGAGGGTCATAAGGTTTGGGACAGGCAGAGCCACAGAGGACACCTGGAGATGGCAGGCTCCTACTCGGAGAGCCCCTGGAGGTGTACTGGGGAGAGCTGAGATAGGACTCTGGGCTCATACAGATGCCACTATCATTATCTGAGGGAGTGACTTCCTCCTTTATGCACTGAGGGATCATGGAAATGTAAGCAGTGAAGTCTGGCTTCCTATCTCCTTCAGAGATATCTGCTTCCCTTCCCAGCTCTAGACTACAGGAATAATCTAGAGTGGAGGACAGGACCTCTGGGGAAAGGGGAAGAAGTTGCAAGAAGGTGAAGGGGGCAACCTGGTTGGGTTTTGTTCACCTTTCTGGGAGATGGCAAATCGGGTTCACCGTCTGAGGGGGCTCCTTATTAGTCTCCTGGACTAGGGGGACAAAGAGATCACACGAGTCATCCAACGTGGCCAGAAGCTCATCTGGCATGGTTTCCAGGTCATCTATACCCAACAGGGCATTAAAGTCGAACTCCTTCAGATCCGTTTTCTCCAACATCCAATCTGTCCCAAAGAAAGCATCCTCCTTGCCATTGTCGGAGGCACTGACCAACCCACCCACAGGCAGCCATTCGGAGGAGTCTGCCTTAGCCTTGTCGCTGGAGAACCCATGAGGTTTGAAGTGCCTGGCCACCTCCAGGTAGTCATCTAAGAGACCTAGGCTTTCTTCAGTCCCCAAACCTGACTGGTCAAAGGGGGACATCAAGCCCCCACCAACACCTCACTGCTCAGGAAGCTCATCTTGGTCATGGTGCAGTGCTTTGCTGGAATCAAGGAATGTGCTTAATTCGAAGGTGTCTTTGTCAGTTACAGCAATGCTGCTGCTGAATGCTGTGAGAAGTGCCATGGCTTAAGCCGCCGGTGGGTGCCACTGCAGAGCCTGGTGCTGCTGCCACCACTGCAAAGGCCAATGCTGCCACAGGCACTGCTACCCCTAATACGCCATGGTGGCCATGGACCCTGAAGGCCGGAAGGAGGGAAGGCACGCATGTGCGGAGGAAACTACATGTGTGGGCGGGCACAGCAGAAAATCATCATTAATTCTTAAAGCTCCAAAATAACCTCCTTTGACTCCATGTCTTACATCCAGGCCACACTGATGCAAGGGGTGGGCTCCCAAGGCCTTGGGCACCTCCGCTTCTGTGGCTCTGCAGGGTACAGCCCCCTCGGCTGCTTTCCTGGGCTGGTGTTGAGTGTCTGCAGCTTTTCCAGGAGTATAATGCAAGTTGCCGGTGGATCTACGATTCTGGGGTCTGGAGGACGGTGGCCCCCTTCTCACAGCTCCACCAGGCAGTGCCCCAGGGGGGACTCTGTGTGGGGACTCCAACCCCAGGTTTCCCTTCTGCACTACCCTAGTTGAGTTTCCCCAGGAGGGCTCCGTCCCTGCAGCAGACTTCTGCCTGGACATTCAGGTGTTTCCATACATCCTCTGAATGTACACAGAGGTTCCCAAGCCTCAACTTTTGCCCTCTGCATACCCGCAGGCTTAACACCACATGGAAGCCACCAAGGCTTACAGCTTGCACCCTCTGGAGCAGCAGCCGGAAGTGTATCTGGGGCCCTTTTAGACATGGCTGAAGCTGGAGCAGCTGGGGCACAGATAGCAGTGTCCCGAGGGTGCGCAGGCCAGCAGGGTCCTGGGCCGGGTCCAAAAATCCTTTCTTGCCTCTTTGGCCTCCAGGCCTGTGAATGTCCATCAAAAAATTAAAAATAGAACTACCATATGATCCAGCTATCCACTTCTGGGTATAGATCTGAAGGAAATGAAATCTGTTTCTTCCTGAGTCAGTTTTCATAGTTTGTACATTTCTAGGAATTTGTCCACTTCATCTAGGTTATCTAATGTGTTGGCAAACAATTGTTCACAATCTTCTCATATAATCCTTTTTGAGGGTGGAAGAATTCAGTAACGATCAACAAAATGGAAAGGCAACTTGCAGAATAGTGAGGAATAATATATTGTTCACATCTTATCAATATAATACATGCATTTTGTGGGGGCAATAATACATGGTCTCAGTTTTTTTCCTCATCAGCTATAACAGGGTTGGGGTCTACAGTGATATCTTTTCAAGTCTCCAGCATCTGCGTCGCACTCAGGTAGCAGCACAGAGTCCCGAGTGAGCCCCTAACAGATACTCATCTCCCTTGGGACAGAAGCAGCACATGGACTTCCATCTCTGGTCATTAGGTCCCGTGGCCTAGGGACCATGTCTCAAAATTAGCTTCGATGCCATAACATATTTGATCAGAATACAGGTAATGGTCTAAGCTGAAATATAAGCATTTCAGCTGAACTTCAGGCATAGTGATGGCAAATTGGAAAGAGATGCAAAGAGATTTCAAGGATCTTGGAAATTCACAATGTCATTTAAGAAGGAAACACACGTCACTCAATTCCAGTAAAGAATCACAGACTCGGCCATGCATGTTGGCTCATGCCTATAGTCCCAATAGTTTGGGAGATCGAGGTGGGAGGATCGCTTGAGCCCAGGAGTTCGGGAATCACAGACTCTTCAGCTCCCAGTCCGGTGCTCTTAACCACTACATGCTGCCAGTCATCAATATTCTCCCATATTTCCTTTATTGAAATAGGATCATTAAAGCTTAGGGGGAAACATCTGATAGGAAAAGATTTCACATATTTTTTCTAGATTTTCATTTCCTCCTTTTGTTGTTTTTTTTCTGGAGACAAGGTCTCACTGTGTCACCCAGGTCAGAGTGCAGTGGTGCAATCACGGCTCACTGCAGCCTTGACTTCCCGTGCTCAACCCATCTTCCCACCTCAGCCTCCCAAGTAGCTGGGACTATAGGTGCGCACCTCCACGCCTGACTCATTTTTTAAAATGGTTTGTAGAGATGGCATCTGACTATGTTGCCCAGGCTAGTCTCAAACTCCTGGACACAAGCGGTCCTCCCACCTCGGCTTCCCAAAGTGTGGGGATTACAGGCGTGAGCCACACTGCACCAGGCCGCCTCCATTTCCTCTTTCATATACACTCCAGTTAAATTTTTAAAAAGTAGTTGGTCGCCCCGAGGCAGAGACTGTCTTATAGTTTTTCTGTTTCCCAGAGTGCCTTGCTAAATACCCAATTGTTGACTGAATCTTTAAACTCTTCTGAGTTTACAAATTTACTGTACTGTAAAGACGTAGACTCAACAGGTACAAAATCTTTGGTCTTTCAATCAACATAGGTCCTGGAAACATCACTTCATTCCTAAATGCCAACGTAATGAATACAAGAGAATTGGTTTTAAACAAACATTTTGATCAGTGTTTACTTAAATTCCCAGGGGATTCCCACCTTACTCCACTCCCTCGGCTCAGCACACGTAGTATAAGCCACACTAGTCCGCATCTGGTGTTACAACTTTCTGTCCAATTTCAGAACACCCTCCTTTCACCAATTCATGGCCTGCAACCCTTCCACCGCCATTTCCACAAGCAAACTTCAGGTCTTATTCAAGGTGAGGTGCCATACTTGCTGCAGCACTTAAGTATTTTTTAGCCATTTAACATGCATAGAACTGTGCTACCATTGTTACTAGGTTCCCATCTTCTTTTTTTATGTGTCACTGACAAAGGTTTTGAGTATTGTGCCCCAACCCCATTTTTCCTGTAAGTTTTGTGATTTGTACTACACAATGATTTTGAGGTACACGTATGTCATGTTATAATCATAACTCATTGTATCACTGTTTGGGGAAAAAATTAACCAATAACCGATTTATTTTTTCAAAGATAACAGGTGTGCAAGCTTCCAGAAAATCTGCTTAAGCATAAAATCAAATCAGAGAGCAGTTGTTTTTCCTCCAGCATCTATCCAGTGGCTAGCTAGCACTCAAATCAGACACTAGATTTGGAACCGGAAGGACATCATTCACCTTGAAGTAGTGAACAAAAACATGGTTTTGTCAAGAAATAAAAGAGATAAAAGTCATTATAAAAACTGTCTTTTCCGCCAGACACGGTGGCTCATGCCTGTGGTCCCAGCTACTCGGGAGGCTGAGGTGGGAGGAACACTTGAGTCCAGGAGGTCGAGGCTCCAGTGAGCCGTGATCGCACTACTGCACTCCCACCAGCCTGGGCGACAGAGCGAGACCCTGACTCTAAAAAAAGGGAAATGGTCTTTTCCATCCTCAGAGCAAGCATGCAGAATATGATTGTCATCCTATTCATAGACGTGGAAACTAAACCTAAGAGAGGCTGAGTGACTGTCCCAAAGTACCATGGCTGATAGGGGTTGTAATAAACTCAAGTGGTCTTTGTCTAGGATCAGAAAAACTACCACTATATGTAATGGCACTTGTAACTGTGACGTGTTATTTCCGATTGTCTGCAAAACACAAACATGAATAAATGAGATGAGTTGTTGGGGGAAAGTAAGAAAACGGTGACACTGTTAGGGTTACCCATCTCTCCACGTACCTCCTAACATCAGACCCTGATTGGGGCAGAAAACCCTGGCCTGTACCATGACAAATGCTTCCTGTCCAGTAATAGGATGTTCAACAGCTCTTCGGTACCAACAGTGAACAAATTTTTTGCAAAAGAATATTATTGCTGCAATTGGCCGGGCATGGTGGCTTACGCCTGTAATCCCAACAATTTGGGAGGCTGAGCTGGGCAGATTGCTTGAGCTCAAGAGTTCGAGAGCAGCCGGGGCAACATGGCTGTACCTACTCTCTACAAAAAATTGTAAAATTTGCCAGGCGTGGTGGCGCACGCCTGTGGTTCCAGCTACTCTGGAGGCTGAGGCGGGAAGATGGCATTGAGCCCAGGAAGTCAAGTCTGCGGTAAGCCATGTTCACGCCACTGCACTCCAGCTTGGGTGACAAAGTGAGACCCAGTCTTCTGTCTGTCTGTCTCTATCTATCTATCTATCTATCTATCTATCTATCATCTCTATCTATCTCTATCATCTATATCTATATATGTATAGCTTAGCTATATCTGCAGCAGTGAATAGAAACCCTTTTAGCAAAGTGTTCCCAAACTCTTGCTTCTAATTCTTGACCAACTCAGAAGTAAAGGAGGAGAATGAAGTTAAAGGAAGTCATATGTTTCCGTGCTCTCATGCATACTTTTATTTCTGCAAGGTCAGTAGTAACGTGCCTACTTTCGTTTCTGATGTTAGTCCTCTCTCTCTCTGTCTTAGTCCAGCTAAATGTGTCTCCGTTGTTCTTTAAGCACTTCCTTATTTTTCTGGGACAACAAGATGATCCAGTTAATCTTGGACTTTCTCTGCCCTGGCCCTGGAATCAGTCATTTCTCTAATGAGCTCTGTTCTTTTTAATCAAGACTGTTGTTTAGAAATCGAGACCCAGGCGCTAAGTCGACTCACTGCTATTGAGATGGTCCCAGGCCTTCTAAGTGATGGAGCTGAGACATATGCATACGCACAGCCCTACATTACAGCTATGTTTATTTCTATACCTATCTGTACATTGAAAGCCATAAGTGTATTAGGCCACTCTTGTGCCGCTATAAAGAAATACCTGAGACTGGGTAATTTATACAGAAAAGAGATTTACTGGGCTCTTGGTTCTGCAGGCTCTGCAGGAAGCATAGTGCTGGCATCTGCCCGGCTTCTAGAGAGGCCTCGGGAAGCTTCTACTTGTGGTGGGAGGCAAAGCGAGAGCTTGTGTATCTCATGGCGAAAGCAGGAGCGAGTGAGGGAGAGAGAGAGAGAGAATGAGAATGTGTGGGGGGAAGGGGGGAATGCCACCCACTTTAAAATGACAAGATCTCTCGAGAACTCACTATCACGAAGACGGCACTAAGCCATTCCTGAGGGATCCACCCCCGTGACCCAAACACCCCCTACCAGGCCCCACCTCCAGCCCTGGGGATTACAAGTTAACATGAGATTTGGGTGGGGACAAACATTCAGACTAGATCAATGAGTTCACACCAACAACTCCAAATCGAACCCACATTCAAGCCTTCTCCCTTTTCATATCTGCAACTCCTTTTCCAAATGGTGAGAAAGCCAGGTCCCTACATCATTCATATATTTACTGCAAAGCCAATCAATCATCTGAGCCCATCAGGTCACCACCCAACTTGGCACACGTTCCTCTCTTGGACCCCTGACCCCTCCCCAGGACACTGTCACCCTCGCCGACTCCCTTCCTTACTCCACAAAACTTCCTTGTGCAGGACACTGCTGCGCTCAGTGGAGGATCATGCTTCACACTGGTCCCCAGCCGCCCTCCACACTTGCCTTGAGTGGGCCCCCAATCCCAGGGGCTTTTGGAAGAAGATGGGGAGAAGGACAGGATCGAGGAAGAGAGGCGGGAAGGAAGACCGGCAGAGCAGCCGGCAGGAAGGGCCATTGTTCCTTCTGATGCTCCATTCGTAGCCAATGGCAACTCAAACTGGTTGGCAGCAGTGTCCTCTTGACAAACGCTGTGGTCATGTCTCAAATTTACCTTCAGCAGGAGCACTTCAGTCCACAGTCTTGGTGCCAGCTACGACGCATTAGCATTGCTTTGAAGGCTTTTCCGGGCACAGAGAAAGCAAGTAGGTAGTTTTTAGAAAGAGAAAAATAAACTGAGTTCATCACGCCTGTAATCCCAGCACTTTGGCAGGCCAAGGTGGGAGGATGGCTTGAGCCCAGGAGTTCGAGAGCAGCCTAGACAACATAGCGAAACCCCATCTCTGCAAAAAAATAAAAATAAAAATAAAAATAAATTAGCCGGGCGTGATGGTACGCGCCTGTAATCCCAGCTACTCGACAGGCTGAGGCGGGAGGATTGCTTGAGCCCGGGAGGTCAAAGCTGCAATGAGCTGTGATTGTGCCACTACCCTCCAGCCTGGGTGACAGAGTGAGACCCTGTCTCAAATAAATAAATAAACGAACAAATACGAAGTTAGACAGCTGTTACTTTTTGAATATATATATATTCCCTATTCCCTGCAGATATTCTCAAGGGTTTATTTTTATTATTTATTTATTTATTTATTAAAGTTCAGTTGTTCTGTCATCTGTGTGGTGGCTCCAGCATCTGTTTTGAGTCTCACTCTGTCGCCCAGGCTGGAGTGCGGTGGCGCCATCTCGGCTCACTGCAAGCTCCACCTCCCGAGTTCAAGTGATTCTCCTGCCTCAGCCTCCTGAGTAGCTGGGAGTACAGGCGCCCACCACCACGCCTGGCTAATTTTTGTATTTTTAGTAGAGACGGGGTTTCACCATATTGGCCAGGCTGGTCTAGATCTCCTGACCTTGTGATCTGCCCACCTCGGCCTCCCAAAGTGCTGGGATTACAGGTGTGAGCCGCTGCACCCAGCCTCCAGCATCTGAACTCTTAGTCTCATGGTCTCTTTCCTGCCCCGGGTGTGCTTAGTTTTTATGTGCACTGCTCATTATCATTAAGAACTTCTTTCCCCAGTGCTCCTGAAGTTCTTATATTAATATATCGCTCTTTTTATTTTAAGAGCTCAGGGGTACATGTGCAGGTTTGTTATACGGATAAGCGTGTGTCATGGGGGTTTGTTGCACAGATTATTTCATCACCCAGGTATTAAGCCTAGTAACCATGAGCCATTTTTCCTCATACTCTCCCTCCTCCCAACCTCTGCCCTGCAAAAGGCCCCAGTGTGCTTCATTCCCCTCTATGTGTCCGTGTGTTCTCATCATTTAGCTCCCACTTATAAGTGAGAACATGTGGGATTTGGTTTTCTGTTCCTGCGTTAGTTTGCTAAGGATAATGGCCTCCAGCTCCATCCATGCTCCTGCAAAGGACACGCTCTCGTTCAGGAACTTTTATGGAACTGCATCTCAACCCTAGGCTCCCACAAGTCCGCACATCCATTGGGATAACCATTGTGGGTTGAACTGTGTCCCCCAAAAAGGGATGTTCAAGTCCTAACACCTGGGTGCCTGGGAATGTGACCCGATTTGGAAATAGGGTCTTTGCAGATGTAATCAAGTTAAGGTCATACTAGATTGGGGTGGGCGCTAATCAAATATGACTAGTGTCCTCATAGGAGAGAGAGGTAGACACACTGGGAAGATGACCCCACGAAGAAGGAGGCAAAGAGATTGGAGCGGTGCCTCTACAAGACAGAGAGTGCCAAGGATTGCCGGAAACCACCCGGAGCTACGAGAGAGGCATGGAACAGATTCTCCCACAAAGCCTCCGGTAGGAACCAAGCCTGCTGACAGCTGGATTCCAGACTTGTAGCTTCCAGAACCACGGGAGAATCCATTTCTGTTGTTTTTGGCCCCCCAGTTTGTGACCGTTTCTTATGGCAGCCCTAGGAAACTAATATGGGTACTGTCGGCCCAGGACCACCTCAGACCAAATTTAGGACTTCAGGGCCACTGAATGGCCCCACCAGGAAAACCTAGACTGCGAGTCTGCACAGAACCTGGCCCTTGGCCACAACTTTGCAGATGGGTGTTTTCCCTTTCCTTTCATCTCCTGCTTCCCCGCAGTCTGCAGAGCTGGGGTGGGGTTTCCTTAATGCAGTGAGGGCTGCTCTTCAACTCTCCACACTTCACAAAGGCTTTGGTCCTTGCCTGCTGCCTCCCTTGCCTGGACGGCCTCCAGAACCAAAACCCAAGTTTGCCCAGGTCACCCAGCGTCCTCGGGAAATAAGCAGCTTCAGTGGCGTACTTCTTCTTGGATTCCCACTTCCTCTCAGGTTTTGCTCGCTTGCTGGTTCTCAGTTGTTTTGAACAGTCTCAAACTGTTTCATTTGCAGTTATTTTCAGCAGAAATATCAGTCTCAATAATACCAGCCAGCATCACCAGAAACGGATGGCAGGTCTTGCAATGCTTTTGGGGATGGACAGACAGACCACCCTGGCCACCGCCCACTAGGTGCGGGAGAAGACTTATTTCCAGCTATAGCACACATTTATCGACTTTGGCTCTCCTAGACTCAGAAAGAAAATCCCACCCCTTCCCCTCAGGCCTGCGAAACTCAGAACCAACGCGACCGCGACCGATGGAATCCCTGGATCTCCCCACTTCCTTTGCCTGCTGAGTTCTCTTCCCCCAAGGGTACAATGACATCCATCAGCTGCCTGCCCCCTGCTGACACACTCTCTGTTTGAGGGTTTGCCTCTCAATGACTATAGAGAAAGCAACCTGGGCCCAGTACAAGAGCAGCTGCTAGTTTCCTGGTTGGTACCAACCCTGAGTCTCTGAGGAAAGGACAGAGTAGGGTCACTCTGCTTCACGAGACAAAGTCAGTCGCCCATTCTCCCTGCCAGTTCTCAAGCCTGTAATCCCAGCATTTGGGGAGGCCAAGGTGGGAGGATCACTTGATTCCAGCAGTTCAAGTCCAGCCTGGGCAACACAGTGAGACCCTGTCTCTACTGTTAAAAACGTAAGGAAGGAAGGAAGGAGGGAGGGAGGGAGGAGAGGGAAGGAAGGAAGGAAGGAATAAGGAAAAAAGGAAGGAGAGAAGGAAGGAAGGGAGGGAGGAAGGAAGAAAGGAATAAGGAAGAGGGAAAGAAGGAAGAAAGGAAGGAAGGAAGGAAAAAAAGGTCACCTGTCAAACATAGCTTTAGGTGATGGTGTAAATGTTCAATGTTGATCTTCTTCTGTGTCTTCATTTGCATTTTCTTTTTTTTTTTTTTTTGAGACGGAGTCTCGCTCTGTCGCCCAGGCTGGAGTGCAGTGGCGCGATCTCGGCTCACTGCAAGCTCCGCCTCCCGGGTTCACGCCATTCTCCTGCCTCAGCCTCCTGAGTAGCTGGGACTACAGGCGCCCGCCACCGCGCCCGGCTAATTTTTTGTATTTTTAGTAGAGACGGGGTTTCACCGTGGTCTCGATCTCCTGACCTTGTGATCCGCCCGCCTTGGCCTCCCAAAGTGCTGGGATTACAGACGTGAGCCACCGTGCCCGGCTTCATTTGCATTTTCATGGGAGCTTACAGGAGGCGCACAGGTGTCCTAGACAGCATTTTTAAAATAACAACTTGAGGTTTAATTCACACGCTACACAATTCACATGTCTAAAGTGTACAATTGGATGGCTTTTAGTATATTAATAGATACGTGCAACCATCAGCATGACCAGCTTCAGGACATTCTCTACATCCCAAAAGGAAACCCTGTCTCTATTAGCAGTCGCTCCCCATTTTCCCCCAACTCCTCCAGCCGTGGGCAACCAACCACCAATCGACTTCCCTGAGACAACGTTTTGAGCCCTTATTGGGAGGAATTATAGTCGAATGGAAAATCCAATTTGGGGCGTGGTGTAAACTGGAATTGCTTTCGTGGTTTTTCCTTGTGCCTTGGGTCGGGCACTGCTGTAAGAGCATTGCATCCATCCTTTCATCAGTACTCTGCTGCACACGGATGGCATTTCTGCCCTTTTTACAGATGAGGAAACTAAGGTTCAGAGAGATTAAGCAAGAGGCAGAGTGGGGCTTGTCCATAAGACCCCAGAGTCTGTGCTCTTGCGCATACATTATCAGGTCAACGTGATCTATGCATCCGAATTCCAAATAAATAAATAAAAATGCTTATAAGAAGTCCCCCCATGCAGGGCACAGTGGCTCAGGCCTGTAATCCCAACACTTAGGGAAGCACAGGCGGGAGGATTGCTTGAACCCAGGAGTTTGAGACCAGCCCCAGCAATATGACAATATCTGCATCTCTGCAAAAATGAAAAAAAAAAAAAGGCAAAAAGAAGTCCCCCCAAGTTAGTCGCCATGCTCTCTACCATGGGTTTTCCGTGTTATCTCTATCACATTAATACAGTCATTTCTACCAAGCACCACTTACGGTGACAGGGTAGGGTCTACAAAAATATTGACCGAGAAATCCTGATGGAGCTTCAAGACAAGCTCAGGCCACCAAGAAATGTGTACCGAGTCTGGCTGTGCTGAGCGTCGTTCTAGGGCAGAGGTCCCCAACCCCCCGGCCGGGGACCGATGCGGGTCTGTGGCCTGTTAAGAACTGGGCTGCAGAGCAGGAGGCAAGTGGCGGGCACACGAGTGAAGCTTCATCTGTATGTACAGCCGCTCCCCATTGCTCCCGTGACCGCCTGAGCTCTGCCTCCTGTCAGATCAGCGGCAGCCTTAGATTCTCACAGGAGCGCAAACCCTATTGTGAACTGCGTGTATGAGGGATCTAGGTTGTGTGCTCCTTATGAGCATCTAACTAATGCCTGATGATCTGAAGTGGAACAGTTTCATCCCTGAACCGTCACCCCACCCCTGTCTGTGGAAAATTTGTCTTCCACAAAACCAGTCCCCGGTGCCAAAAAGGTTGGGGACCGCTGTTCCGGGGGATGGTGCCTGACTGAGCTGGAGGAGGCCTCTGCTCTCCCTCTGGTGGAAGGAGAGAGAAAACAAAGCAGAATAAATGAGGCCATTTGGACTGCCAAGCAGGGAGTTAAAACAGCGCAGTGTGATTTAGGATGAGGACTTTAAGGTGAAGAAGGTGATCCACTTAGAACTGTTGAAGATTTAAACTTAGAGCTGAATGAGAAAAAGAAATCGGCCATGCAAAGATGAGGGGACAACAGGTACAAGCGCCG